CTAGTTTATTATAAAGGATACAGCTTAGAAAGAGCCGCCTTGGGCAGGGTATTGGTGGGAGCAGCTGCAGAGGGCATGAGGTGGTAATGGAGCATCCATGCTGGCTGAGCACACCACCCTTTCAGCACCCTGATGTGCTCACCAGCCCAGAAGCTCTGTAAGCCCATTTATTTAGGGGTTTTGGAGGATCTGTGACGTAGGCATGATTGATTAAATCATTGACCATTGGTGATTTGTAGGAGTAGGGTAGGGCTGAAAGTTGCAACCCTTCAAACATGTCTTGTTCTTTCTGGTGATCAGCCCCCATCCTGAGACTATTTAGGTGTCCCCAGCTACCAGTCATCCCATTAGCATATACAAAGGACACCTCATCACTCTGGAGATTCTCCGGTCCTAGAAGCTCTTGTGCCAGGAATTAGGGACAAAGATCAAATATATATTTCTTATTGTATCATATTATAGTTGTTCTGTATTTTATTTTGTGTAGACCCATGTAACTACCACCAGAATCAGTAGAAACTGTTCCATCACCGCAAAGGTTCCTTGTGCTAGTCTCATGGTCACATGCATTCCTGCATCCCCCACACCTCCACCAGCCCCATTCCTAGCTCTTGGGAACCAATAACGGTGGGGTGCAGTGGCTCACACCTGCAATCCTAGCAGTCTGGGAGGCTGAAGTAGGCAGATTGCCTGAGATTAGGAGTTTGAGAAAAACTAACTGGATGTTGTGGCAGCCGCCTGTAGTCCCAGCTACTTGGGAGACTGAGGCAAGAGGATCTCTTCAGGCCAAGATTTGGGGTTGCTGTGAGCTAAGATGCTGTAGTACTCTACCTAGGGCAACAGAGTGAAACTGTCTCAAAAAAAATTCTGAAATGTCATTTCAATGTTACATAAACATAATCATATAATATGTAACCTTTTGAGCTTAGCTTCTGCCACACCCCCCAAAAACGCACACTCAGCCTAATACCCTTGAGACCCATCCAGGTCGCTGCATGTATCAGTAGTTTGTTCCTTTTATTGCTGTCTAGTGTTCCATGATAGGGACCTGCCACAGTTTGTTAACCATTTTACCCACTGAAAGACATCAGAATTGTTTCCAGTTTTTAGCTATTACAGATAAAGCTAAAACATTTGTGTACAGATTTTTGTCTAGACATACACTTTTATCTCTCTGGGATAAATGCCCAGGAGCCAGGAGTGTGACTGTTGGGACCTATTGTAAATGTATGTTTTGTTTCTTATGTACTTGAAAAGAAAGTGTATTCAGTTGGAAGGTATATTCTGGCTTTACTGGGTGCAGCGTATCATGGGCCAGTTAAATCAAGCCTGTTCATTGTTTTGTTCAGATCTTCTGCATCTTATTTTTTTTGATATTCTGTAAATTATAGAAAGTGGTATGCTAATCTCTCCCTCTTGAGATTTCAGGTTTATTTGTTTGCTCTTTTAGTTCTGTCAGTTTTTTTTTTTTTTTTTGGCCAGGGCTGGGTTTGAATCCACCACCTCCGGTATATGGGGCTAGCGCCCTACTCCTTTGAGCCGCAGGCACCGCCCTCCAATGTTTTCTTTTAAGACAGAATCTCACTCTTTTGTCCTGGGTAGAGTGCTAGGGACGTGGCATCAGCCTAGCTCTCAG